CCCTTAGGCGTGGCCCTGTTGGTTCCATGCTGGATCAAAAACTAGTAGAGGGTCAAATGTCCAGCCATTTTGATGGTCAAAGACAAAATACAGGGGCATTATTATTACTGTACATTATAAAAGACTGATGAACAAGATAGTCTATTATTTGTCTTCATTTGTAATTTTTAAACTAATTTTTATTTTTATATTACAAAAAAGTATTATATTAATGAAGTAATAAATTCTATTCAAAATAATTAGGTCGCGGCTATGTTACACCACTTTCCAATGCATTTGAATATGGGCTTTTCACAGTGATTGTTAATATTTTCAACAAAAATTATCATTGATGATTAGTGCCAGAATGATTAATTCCTTTATAAAGATATTGTAATATCAATACTAATTGTTTTTGAATGGTGTAAGAAGTGTCACTCTGATTTTTTTTAAACTAGTCTGTTCAAACTTTTTATTGTGCTTCTCTTCTTACAGGAAATACCGACATGTTGGATATCGATAGCTTTCATTTGGTAGGTGTTTAACAGGCTAAAGAAATCTGACAGAAGGGTCATCCCATCTTGCAGTGTGGGCGATTAGGGACAAGTTCCCAGAAGCTTTGAAGACTGCCCTGGGTTTTTTGATGCTATAGAAGATGATGAAATAAACTGTGTTGGAAGAATTATATATAAATTGTTATGGAAGATACCTGATAAGTCCATCCTCATTAATGCAACCGATCTTATGTAATAGATTCATTCTTGACAATTCATGTGTGACAACTGTGTTCTGTTTTTTTTGACAATCTCATCACTCATGACAGGACATTTTGTCAGCAAAGGCCTAGAGCTTTTGTATCTGGACCAGTCAGTTGTGTGTAACCTTCCAGACCTAGTCTGTAATTGAAATTGTTGTTATTGATGCGGATAGGCCAGCAAAGTTGATTTCAAGAACATTTTGTTGTTAAGTACAGTACAATGTTATTTGTATCTTCCCCACTCTCATCTCATATTTTAAAATTTTAAGCTAATACAGTATATAAATGTAACTTGTTCTTCCCTATTCTTTACATTGGTATAAACTACAGTAACTATACATACATATATTTAATATTTTGATAATAAATAGTGTGTAAAATGCAGTGATATATATTGTAATACCTGACTGCTTCAATGTTGCTTTATTCTGTGTACAGTAAAACTATTTTATATTAACTGTGAGAAAATACACTTGTAATAAATTATTTGCCATGTACAAGGATGATAATTGTGTTTCAAAATATTTATAATTTAGTAACACCAGTAGTCTTGAATTTACTGTATGTACAACAATAACTAAGTGAAGCACCAAAAATATGGATGTTGAATATCATCATTTAAGAAGAAATTTTGGCTATGGTAAATAATACAAGACAATCAGACATGATAAATAGAGCAGTGCAATTAAACTTGCCTAAGACGACTAATAATACATACCGAATTGTTGTGTTTTCCATTACAGTAAGTGCAAGTCAAATTTTGTTAGGGTCGAACAATTTTTTTAATAGCATTTTTGATATGACATAGGCAAGTTCAACTATATATTTTAAAATACTAAACAAAAAATGATGTGCAGCAAAAAAATTGAAGCTTTCTCTTAAATTCCAATACTAAATTGATCAGCATGGAGACATAGGCAATAAGTCCAGGCATTAAAAAATAAGCAGTTTCATAGAATAACTTTACACAAGACTGTACAAAGCCATACATTAAAATAGTTGTTCCTGTATACTGTATATTGAGCCACATTTTCATACTGTACTATCAACTTCGCACATTACATACAGTATTTCAAAATTAATCCTCAAAATTTGTTTTCTAAATCTGGGTCACATATTTGCTTCAAAAGGATTACTATTGAATGGGATTATACCATTTTGGTGGTGAACGACGATAGTTGCTTGTACCGGGTTACCGGGTAGCACAGACACGAAGGGACCCTTAGGGGCAAAGAAAGTCATTGATCGAGTTCCTAGTCCACATTATAAGTGCCCTGAGCATCTTACATTAGATGGATTTGTGCGCTATATAAAACTACACTATTATTATTTAATAATATTAAAGATATTTTGCAAATGAAACAGGTACAGTAATACTGGTACAGTATTTATTTATTTATTATAAATTTGGCATGCAATATAAACCAGATGCACAAAATACAAAAACTTAAGTGTGTGGCATTTCAGTATATCTTCAGAAAAAAAAAATCACTAGATGAAATCATTTTAATTTAATTCTTTTGAAATATTTTGGGCTCAATCACTTGCTGCAGAGCTCTGAGCATCACCACCTTCTGCTAACCATGGATTGGATATGTCCATTTCATCATGTCCACACAGATGGGA